AGAGAGAATGATTGTGAGTGAGAAAGGGGGGTTGGAGAACGCAGCAATGGGACCGAGACGGGGGCAGTCGCCGGTGGGTGAGTGGGTGAGTGGGCGGTAGAAATGTCTCTTATCGAATCGCCTTTCACCGCGCCACGGCCCAACGATGTTCCCACAAGACAAACGCGAGAGCACGGACGCGGATGAAGTTATTTTGCGGGTTGGTTGACGGATATGAGGGGCGGTGGGGTCTGGGTGTCGGAGGCGTAAAAATACACGGATTGTAGCGCGAAGAAAATGGCGAGGGAAAACACGGTGGCGTGGTCGCGCGCGTCAAAAGGTGAAGCACAGGTGGCGGAGAGGCAGCGGCGACGACGGCGGCGGCGGCGGCGACGGCCTCGATGGTGGGGCCAAGTGTTTGCCTCGGGTGGAAAGCTCCGCCTATTCGACGCCGGCGCGCCGAACGACTCCTCCGCGAGTACGCGGATGCCGCGGAAAATGCGATCTAGCGAATGGGGTCGCGAAGGCTCCGCGGGACCCGAAAGCCTTGGCATGGCCACGTCCTCGCGCTGCGAGAAGGAGACGCGCGGACGAAGAAGAAACGGGGCGGCCGCCAGTGGGAGTCGGCGGCTTCATCGAGCGAAGGAGAGTGAAAGGGGCACTGGCCATTTTCCAGCAAACAGCCGAATAATTTAGCCCCTTTGCGCGCTCGCGTGCCGCGGCTCGCATAGCCTAATGTCGGATGGAAGCGGCGGCGACTCTGTTAAAACAGCGTCGCAGAAAGTCCGAGATGATGGCGCGCGGGACGCCGATTCGTCGATTTCGTCCCGAAATGATTTTTAATAAGACAGCGAATTCGTCTATGGCCCGGGATTTACTCCGATCTGCCGCGGCTTTGCGCAATCGTCGAGGCTATTTGGACTTTTTATATCTATTGCGCTGAGCTACTGCCCTCGATTAGATATTATTAAATGCGTTGCTGTTCTTACCATTGTGTAACGTCAAATATCTTCGTGCCAAATCGGGGCTCGAGGCATGGCGAAAAATGAAAAAAGTCAACCCTCCTCGATCGACGCGAGTATTCATTGACTATTCATTGATTAAGCAAACGACATTATTTTTCAACATTGGGAACACTCGCCAAATTTGAGATCTTGGCGGTAAGAACATTAAAAAAATCATCGACGTCCGTAGCAACGAAATCAGAATTAGCGTCTAAGCGTTTGCCAATACGCAGGCAAACTTCGATGCAATTATGAATTCTAAATTATGAACTTTAAAAGATGCATGACTTTATTGATTGTTGACATTACTCTTAATTCGCAATTTAAATGATGCATATGGCAGAGCCAATGTCTTACTAGTAACAAATTATCTTAGGTTTAGTATGGTTTACTATTTTTCTTTCTTTCGTTTTGACATTTTGCGATTGTTAAAAGCAAAATCATTGAATGGCGTCCAAGTTCCATTTGAGTACCCAACTCCCTCCTTTGTTATTCTAACGTTAGACCTTCTCTGGGAGAAGTTTTCTGCACAATTTATAATTCAATGAGACTAATTAAGATTATGCGAATTGATCCTTTTCAAATGTGCCGCTTAAGTTGAAATCTACCCTAGTCCCATCGGTTGGTTCACAATTTTCAATGAGATTCCAAGATATGTTATCTGCCCCATTACCCATTGGAACAAATGGAATATTTAATGTGAAATTTATATGTGCCGTGTTGGATAAATAACAATTGTCCATTATTAGTCATACTCGATTGCTTATTAAATCAAAGTCACGAATATGGATTTTTTTTTACACGAAGTCACATCTTAGCATCTCATCAGCATAAATTTACGTGGGATACGAGTACTCCTTTTTTACATATTACATTCGAATACATAAACTAACGTGTATTGGATATCAGTATCGCCTCCCCGCTAAAACAAATTACCATTTTTCGGCCAAACTGTAGTTTCATCGATTACGAAGTGTGCGAAGGGCGGCGGCTTACCAACTAATTTACTCCCCTTTATATAAATGATTATTTGGTGAATTTATCGATGTAAGGATGGAATGTTTGAGATGAATCACGAACGATGAATCTGTAAATGCTGACAAAATAGAAGGAAAATGCGTTTTTATAGTCCAAACAGTCGGGGGCTTAATTCCGTGAAAATATATTGCCCGATGGATAAATGCCGGGGAACGATGGCGCTTTGCGACAAAGAAACAAAGATTCCTTCAAAACATTTTGTAAATATGGTATCTCGAATAAGCGAATGATAAATCTTGTCCGTGGCTCTCCAAAGCCACGATAACAGTATTGCTAAAAATGGTGAAAATAATGTTAGTTTGTCCGGAAAGACGAACGAGGACAAGCAAGATCTCCTCGACTCAATCATCGCGTAAGGCGAGCGTAAGAGTAAGAAGTTCAATCTCGGTCAGTTCGTCTATCCCTCCCCGCCCTGCCCTCATCGGCCGTGTTGCCTAAACTCCCTCCCCCCCCCCCCCCCCACACCCCCCCCCCCCCCC